CTAATCTAGTAAGCACCGTAGCTGGCAATCCGGGCTTAGGGCTGAAGTCCCCTTTGTTCTTACACCATAGCAACAAGCCAGTCATGCAGATTCCGACTACAGTGCATGCACTACTGACCACGGGGTTACTACTCGCTAGCTTTGTCCTTCTCGTGTTATCTCGTCGAGCAGTTCAGAAAACCTCATTACACCTGAGACTCGACCTTGCCGTGTCTACGCCGAAGATTATTCTACTGGCAGTGCACATAGGACTGAGCTGGACCAAAAAAATTCAAACAGGGAGAGAAGTGGTGTTAGGGCTAACCAGTTAATTTCCCTCTTTACTCGTCGTACGTGCCCTCACGTTGTTTCTCGATTTTATGTTAACCACCAAACATCAGTATCTCCGAATAACCATTTTCTTGCGAAGCCTCCTTAGTGCGCCATATCAGTTGATGATCTGTTTTCCGCTGTTTGCGCTTTTCTCGTGTTTGACGAAGATTACGGCCACGGTAGTTGGTACTTACTTTGATCGCCCACTGCGAGTCGTCGTACTCTTCCTTCTCTTTGTGGATTACCTGGGCTTGGGTTCTCTCTTGTGGTGGCTGGATGGATATACAATGGCCCATACAAGGACTCGAGCGCAACTGCGTTGCGCTTTTGGATTGCACAGTTGGAGTGTCAGCTGTTCTTCTTCTAATTGCAGCCTTGGGGGCTGTTCTGTCCTGTTGGCTGCTATCGCTGGAGGTAAATCCTCACCTTTGCGCCATCAATTTCCGAGTCACCACCGGCATTTTCACCGCTAATCCCTGACTCCTATATTTCCAATTGCTTTAAGAACACATCAAATTCCATGTGTTGACTCTGTGCTATTGTGTGAAATTTTTCGCGACTAGATTTGACTAGTCTTCGGACAAGCTAACGACCGTTCGTTGAACACGGTCATAAAACTGCAGGCGGCTGGTGACCCATCGTTTTCAGCTTTGACCGAAAACCAAGACCATCCGACAAAGGCAAGGATCCCTTCAACGAAGTCAAATTATTGAGGGCTAGGGCTTTGAAATTTAATTTTCTTGAGAAAACTATCTAATGCTGGCATACTATCCTTTAGAAGGATAACTGAAATCGTAGATTACGTTTACTAAAGAAAAAGATGACAACTGATGTGGTGAGGCTGTAACATAATAATATGGTAAAACATATATGGTACATTACTTTACTTTCATTAATTACTTACTACGCTATCTTGTTCAACTGTGGCGGTGCGGGTATATAATTGTAATGTAACTATTTTTTACATGTAACAGGATGGTTGTATTAAGTTTTCGTCAGAACAGCCCGCGAGTTGCTTGTGTTTGCCTTGTTACCTTCATAGAGATGACGAATTGATTATCATTAAAAGTTTTATCAGCCAGCCCACTTAAAAAGGAGGCTCATCATGCTCCAAATTGGCTGCGCTAAAGTGACGGGTGTCTGCACCTCGAGATTAGCGTACAATACGTTTATACCTTGGATGGCGAGACTATGAATTGGTAGGCATGAGAGCCACCTGAGTTGTAGATCTTATACTCTCGCCCAGCTAGGGATCTCCCGAGACTCTGATAAGGAGCCTAGTTTCCAAAGATCGGCACATAATCGGATTCCGTAGCTGAAAAGCAAAGTTTGTATAAACAAATAATGACCAAGCACAAATAAGACACTATTGATTGAAAAACATGATTCAGTTGCCCTTCCGATTAGCCCGTGATCTGGTGCATCCCTGAGAAGGCTTCAATTCCACCCAAGCCTGTCGCAGGAACGCCATATCTATCTCCGCGAAATGAGGCCCAATCTGTCTTAGAGTCAGATTCTGGGTCTTGAGCTCACGTAGCTTCCGTGTGTCCTTTGCATTAAGCCTCTGGCGGGGTTTGCAACTGCTCAAATTATCTGGATGCTGCTGAGGCGGTTGGGTTCTTGCCTTGGCTCTAGTGAGGGGTCCGCGAGGGCTGCTGACAGGGGTTTGATCAACACAAGATAGGTTTTCATCGCCGCCTTCTTCCTATGCTTGTAAATGACTCTCACACTGATGTTCCGCGCTAACAGTTTGGTCGTAGGCAGATATGGAGGTGAGACAATCTTGCAAGACTTTCCTCTCCTCGTTCGCTTCATTGATAGCATAGTGTCCAGGAGGCTGACTGGCAAAGCTTGGGGTGGGAGGTTGCGGCTATTCTATGCCGCTGATAGACATTCTTGTGATTTCGCCCTCTTCTGGTGGGATATTGTGTGAATTCAGCTGAAAAGCAGCTTGATCACAAGACTAGCGTGCATCCTCCTTGTTGAATTTAAAAGGCTCGATGATTCGAGGATCGATAGCCTCAAGACCTGGTGTGGTTGGCCCCGAGCTGAGTGGAGAACCTGCTTCCGAGAAGCATAGTTCCAGTGAGTTGCTTCTGCTGCTCATGCTGGATTTGTCACCCATACTATGGCGGGGGGATTGTTCCTGGTTTTCTCCGACAAGCGAAAGCAAGGCCGGGAAGGTGGCAGATGATTTTTCTGACACACAGTGCTCACGTTCATGACGTGGAGGTAGGTAGTGATGGAATTAGATTTTCTTAAGACGCTCCTCTTCCGGTTCTGTTAAACAGCTTTTTGACTGCCCCTTGCAAGCGCGCTTTCTCTTATTGGGTAGCTTTGGATTTTGCCACATGGTTTCTTTTAGCCCATGCGCGTCGTGCAAGTGATGCCGAAGGTCACGCTCACTATTAAAGGTTTGAGAGCATCTGCATAGCGGCTTTGTCTGACGATTCCGAATCCTAGCCAAATGCTGCCCTTAACTGTGTTCCCTCAGGTTATCACTTCACAGCCAGTATCGCAAACTGTCCTCCGCAAAAAGCTCCGGGTCCTATAAGCAAAAGGGGCAGTAGCCGGGGCGAATGATGGTATGGCGATATATAATTACTTCCCAGTGCTGGGTTTGCCATGACTAGAGATGGGCATCACAATGGTCCCGCCACTGACTTGACAAAAACCATTCCATGCATTCATAACTAAACCGCATGCTTGAATCTGATACTTGAAGGTCAAAAGCTTTCTCACGGCGGACACATTCTTGAATGTGGGCACTTCTATTATATTTCCTCAGACTAGCAGAGTTAGTATTGGCCGTGTCATTGAATCGGGGCACTTACCTTCCAATGTTGATTTGGCAACCTTTTGCAGGATAAACCCCTAGAATTGGGCTTTCATTTGGGAGGTAAACCACATCAAAATCACGGGTACATTGTGTTTGTAGATCTTAGACAAAAAGAAGATTTTCGTCAAAAGAGAGCTCTTTGGTGCAGGATATGGCTATCGCAATTCGCGCAACCTCTGGCATATTCAACATTTGAGCCCGCGTGCAAATGTCATTTTCCAAGTTCGTCGGCTCTTCCTTTCCCCGATTGATAATTTTCCGGTCTCTTCTCTCCCGTACCCACCGGTCTTGATATTGCCTGAGCTCAAAAAGGCGATGTCGAACCAGCGCTTCCTGTATATCAACTTTTCGCTCTTGAGGGATTTCTCGTCGTGGCTTTGTTCAAACAATTCAATTCGATCTCTTATTTTCAGCATATCTGGTTTTTCTAGAATACTTTCTTTGGTTTCTGCTGGCAATTCGCCTGGCAAACCACGCTCGTAAAATTGGACATAACCTTGAAAGTATTCAATATGGTCAGATCGATCTTCCTCGTCGAGAACAGCTGACACTGTATCTATGGAGGAGCAATGGGCTTGAAAATGCTCTGGAAAAGTGCCTAGTCCCTGGTGTGCCATTATCTGAGAGATAGGTGCAGAGCTATGTCTTCCTACAATATATTTTAGTATTTTGATCGCTTTCGGGTGTTTTTGTGGTGGTAGGGACTTGCTTTCAATTTTCTTCCCTAGATTTCGTCGTATACAATGGATCTTTGCCAATTCACTAAAGTACCCCGCAGCAGTAAAAATCTGACGCAAATAGGAACAGAATTTTTGCTTCGTCAGAGGAGTCTCCTAGGGTCCATCCGCCGTGGTATGTCTGAGGACCGGCTTTTCTAAGTACTCGGTCTTCCATCGCAAAGGTATCTCTCCATTTGAAAGATTAAATTGTGCTAGATCATCCACGGTGCTTACCTGAAAGAGAGCGCCGTGTGCCAGCGCGGGGGAGAGAAGAAGGTGGCCCGACGTAAATTGCGGTCTATTGCTGTCCCGGATATCAATCCCGAATCTAGAAGTACCTATTAGCAAAGTCTCTTACATCCAATAATCATGCCACTGGGCCTTTTCTAACTCACACAGTGTATTGTGGACATCGGTTATTCTTGAGCCACACCTGATTGACCCTCCATTCCACCGCCTAAGGAGCCGTAGATGATGGGAATAGAATCAAGTCAATATGCTGGAACCAAGGTTAATTTTAGATAGACATCGCTGGATTAAGGAGCCTTACTTTGTATCGAAGACCCCTTTTATGTTTGTCCTCGCTAGAGGGTATGAAAGATCCGACTCTTGCTCTAGTAAAGAGGTACATTTGAAGAGCGAACAAGATGACGGCCTTGAGCAACCTAGGAATAAATGTTTGGTGATCTGTCTGCCATAAAGACGAGACTGTTCTCAGAAAATCCTGCCTTGTGAAGTTGAGCTTCTCCTTCTTTTGGTCCACAAGATGCCATCTGCTGTCAAATTTTTTTTTAATCTACTATTTCGAGGTTAGAATTGTTTATGATGATCTTAGAGGGGAAATGGCGAGTAAACCAACCGCTTTTATTTCCTTTCGATCATCTGGGACGATTTTAGTTTTTGTGAATTGTTTAAATCCACTAAAGAATCGTTCTGCATGCGCACTCACGGTTCTCACCGTGGGTAGCTCATCCTCGTTCAGTCGTCCTTGAATAGAACTTGTGTACCAGCGGATGAATTCCTTGATCATCTTATGACTTGGAGCCGGACAACCAAGGGAAGTTTTTTAATATTTGATGCAAATACAATGATAGTATGTATGCAGGTAAAACAGTATTCAATTTTATGGACGGGGAGAGAGAGAAGGTGAGAGTGGAAGGAAGACTATCTAGTTGGTCTATCCTAC